GGAGGGACGGCGCAGGAAGGGAAGGCCCTCTATGAGGTGGATTGATTCAGTGACTGGGATAATCGGGATGGGAGTGTCAGAGACAGTGAGAGTGGCACAGGACAGAGCAGAGTTTAGGGCTGATGTACATAGGGTCGCTATGAGTCACAAGCAACTCGATGGCACATAACAAGAACAACAACCATATAATTCTATTTTTATAGATTTGAACTTTTGCACACACATGCACACTCAGAGTGGACAGTTTAAATTTGTAAATATTTAATTTTTTTGATCTGTGATCTTTTCCCCCTTTCTTAATTTGGAAGGAGCAGGAATAGAGAAGGAAGCAAATGAAACAACATGACTGGAAGTGCCTGTGCTGGCGCCTGACTATTGTTGTTGTGTATCATTCAGTCAGAACTGACCCATAGTTGACTCTCCAGTGGTTTTCAGAGGCAGTAATCACACAGGAGATTTCCCATTCTTCTTCTGCGGAGCAGCTAGTGGATCTGAATCACGTCCCTTTGGGATTACAGCACAGTTTCTTACCACTAGGCCATTAAGGTAGAAGAAAAGATGGGCTAGAGACAGTCATAAGCTGTCCCATCAGCTTCAACATAGTCTTTTGAAGAGAAACAGAAGATATAAGTTGTAGGAGGGAAAGTGAACTCTCTTTAGGTCCAGGAGACAACCACTTTCCTATCAGGAAGTAAAGGAAGACAGCAAAGATGCCATTTTTCTATCTTTTTATCAGAGCATCTGTCATCTTGAGTTTGCATGGAAGTTGGGAATACCACATTCAGGTTCTGTTGGCATCCTTACTAACGTGAGGAGCACGTGCTAGTGTGGTGCAATCTCGTGATAACTGAGTAAATTCCCAGTCTCAGGAACACATTGGGCTGTTCATGTGCACTTTCAGTAGCTTCCCTTTTATCTAGGTAAGCCTATACTTACTTTCTTTGTCACCTTTTTAGAGTCTCACAGGATTTCCACGTGCTGCCTTTTGGGATGTCATCACCCAAAAGAAGTCCGACCCAGAAGATGAAGCGGCCTATTTATATACAAAAAGGGCCACTTGAGGTGCCTTCTCCATCGGAGAAGGATTGGTCTAAGGATGATGAAGAGGATTATGGCTTCAACGATCCAGATAAGGAGCTGGATTCCCTCCCTGAGCCCTACAGAATGATCAACAAGCTGGTCAACCTTCTGTTTGACAGGTCATGGGAAATTATTGAGAAGAGGCAGACATCAAAACAAGCTGACCTCAGCCAGATTCAGCCCAGTATCTACTCCCCAGTTGTAGAGATCAAGGTAACAACCAGGAGGCTGATTCCAGGGAGCTCTGGTGGCCTAGTGGTAAGGAATTATGCTACCAACCCAAAGGTATGTGGTTCAAATTCACCAGTGGTTCCATAGGAGAAGGATGGGCAATTTACTGTAAATTTGTACAATTTACAGCCTCTGAAAACCTACTGGAGGGTCAGATATGGGTCAGTTTTGACTCAATGGTACACAACAAGAAGAATTTCATAGTTGAGTGCTACTAAATGAAGATGCTTAAGCCAGAGAAGGACCCTTCAATAATACAGGTGCCACTTTGAATGACTGTAGACGTACTGGTGTTGACTAAAATTGACGTGGTAATTGGTAGGGAAATACAGTGTTCTGACTAATTGATGTCTATTGTGGAAGACTTTTGTTTTAAAGAGAAGACTATTCAACTCTTTATTATTTAAAAGTCTTTTAAAAAATATATTAGTCCAAAGTCTTGCTCTGATAGTTGAAAATCTGCCAACACCTCAGCTACCACAGGGCCTGTGGTCACCTTTGGTGTTAGGAGCAATGCATGTATTTTCAGCATACTTGTTTTTTCTGGCTTTTCCTCTAAATGTGGAATATGATAAATTTCTTTTTTTTAATGGAAAAATCAATTTGTTTTATAAATGTGCTCAAATCACAATAAGAAAAAAAAGAAAACTCACAGATTCCTGAGAATACAGATTTGGAGTGAGAAAGCTATGTTCAGGTATTAAATGGTGACACACTGGGTGATGACAGAGG